CACCTAATTGTACTCACCTAATTGTGCTTGCGGGGGTTGAGCTTTGGCTCTTTGGTCCCGCCTCTCAACTGTCAATCAACTGGTGTACAGATTCCTGAGCCATACATACATACATACATACATACATACATACATGTATGTATGTATGTATGTATGTATGTATGTATGTATGTATGTATGTATGTATGTATGCATGCATGCATGCATGCATGCATGCATGCATGTATGCATACATGCATGCATGTATGCATATAGTCCTGGGGACCATTCAGGCTTGTTCGCATGTATGTATGTATGTATGTATGTATATGTATGTATATGTATGTATGTATGTATGTATATGTGTATATGTGTAATTACCTAAGTGTAGTTACAGGATGAGAGCTATGCTCGTGGTGTCCCGTCTTCCCAGCACTCTTTGTCATATAACGCTTTGACACTACTGACGGTCTTGGCCTCCACCACCTTCTCACCTAACTTGTTCCAACCGTCTACCACTGTTTGTGAAAGTGAATTTTCTTATATTTCTTCGGCATCTGTGTTTAGCTAGTTTAAATCTATGACCTCTTGTTCTTAAAGTTCCAGGTCTCAGGAAATCTTCCCTATTGATTTTATCAATTCCTGTTACTATTTTGTATGTAGTGATCATATCACCTCTTTTTCTTCTGTCTTTCTAGTTTTGGCATATTTAATGCCTCTAACCTCTCCTCGTAGCTCTTGCCCTTCAGTTCTGGGAGCCACTTAGTAGCATGTCTTTGCACCTTTTCCAGTTTGTTGATGTGCTATATGTGTATGTGTGTATATGTATGTACATATGTGTGTGTGTGTGTGTGTGTGTGTGTGTGTGTGTGTGTGTGTGTGTGTGTGTGTGTGTGTGTGTGTGTGTGTGTGCGTGTGTGTGTGCGTGCGTGCGTGCGTGTGTGCGTGCGTGCGTGTGTGCGTGCGTGCGTGCGTGTGTTTGTTTTTACAAGCCTCGCTTGTTGTATGAACTTTGAAAATTGTTCATTACAACTGCATGTGCTTAGGGTTACCCTTCCCTGGGGACTTGCTGATGCTGCCCCTGTCCTAATAGGATTATTTTCCCTGGTGAGTTTTGATGTTCATCTCATAGAGATGAGGTTGATCAGTCCGGCAACCAGGAGGCCTGGTCGACGACCGGGCCGCGGGGACGCTAAGCCCCGGAAGCACCTCAAGGTAACCTCAAGGTAACCTCAAGGTAACCTCAAGGTAACCTCAAGGTAACCTCAAGGTAGAGGCTGACCTACTGTGTAGGGTGCCTCGTCCTGAGTTGTACAAGGGTCCTTGACTGTTCTGCTAGGCTCTAAGATTGGGGGCATTCTGGAGTTATTGATCAAGAGATGAACTAGGAATCATGCGCTTGTACATATCGCACACTGCTGATGTCCTTCACAGTTTTTTCTAAAGGTTGCTTTTGGTGTCGGTTTCTTTTGGCGAGCATCCCTAGTGCCATGGTGTCCGTCAAGAACTAGTAAGCCCTGAGAGTCTTTTGTGTGGAACATTATTTTATTGACCCATTGGATTCTCCAAGGAGTGCCGGACCAACCAGGCTGTAGTGGATATGTGGGCCTGCGGGCCACTCCAAGTAACAGCCTTGTAGACCAACTCTCACAAGTCAAGCCAGGCCTTGGGCCGGGCTTTGGAAGTAGAAGAACTCCCAGAATCACATCAAGCAGGTATCAAGCAGGCCCACCATGCCCACACTTACTTCTTGCAAGTTTAAGGGATGCCCATCAGTTTTGATACATGCTGATGGTTATTTGTACTGTCTCCACTGTGCAGACTGTTGAGTGGGTATTTTCCATTTTCTCAGATTTCCTGAGACCTGGAACTTCAAGACCAAGAGATCATAGATTTAAACTAACTAAACAAAGATGCTAAAGAAATATAAGAAAATACACTTTTGCAAACAGAGTGGTAGATGGTTGGAACAAGTTAAGTGAGAAGGTGGTGGAGGCCAAAACCATCAGTAGCTTCAAAGCGTTATATGACAAAGAGTGCTGAGTAGACGGGGACACCACGAGCATAGCTCTCATCCTGTAACTACACTTAGGTAATTACTTAGGTAATTATACAAGTCAATTGGATACAATAAATCTGTGGCACTGAATTCATGGCACTCCACTTACTCCCATGACATCACTTCAGTGGAGCTGGCATCACCCGCTCAGGGTCCTGAAGTCTTCCAAAGTCCAGAATTCGATTATCCAGACACACCTACAGTAATCAGTGATTCGGTGCTGGTACTGGCAGGTGTCCTGGTGATGATATAATTGAAGCTCGAGGGAAAAAGTGTTGTCTTGGTTAGCTGAATCAAGACGACCTCCCCTCATAAGCGTACAATTCCAAATGCCCTAGTAGGCAACAGCCCCCCACCTCGAGGTAACCACACCCCCTCTGATTAACCAATCAGAGCCCTAAGTTCTGCACACTCACATTGTCATTGGCTGCCCCGCCAAGTTCAAGCCACCAGCAAGGCATACCCTTCCCTCGTTCTCAACAGAGGTCGTCACTGTGATAGGTAGGATGAGGTGAGGTATTTGGGGGTTTAGCCTTATGGTCTTTCACCATGTCGATTCCCTTTTACCACACAACACCAACTTCCCATCCTTGGACTAAGAGCCCTTACCGCTAGTACCAACCAACAGCTCAATTGATTCTGGCTTAATGAAATGACATAGGTCAACATAGACAATATCACACAATTCCTAAGACCACAGAGACCATAGACATCAAACATGCCCTTTCTTTCCATTCCAAAGGAAGTTATGCCATGGAAGCAACCTGATAGCACATATCAAATGAGTGGACATGAGCTTGTTCTGAGAGATCCATCTCTCACATTAGGCAAGACCTGACAGCTGAGTGGACAGCACATCGGATTCGTAGTCCTGAGGTTCCGGGTATGATCCGCAGTAGAGCTGGAAACAAATGGGCAGAGTTTCTTTCACCCTGATGCCCCTGTTACCCAGCAGTTAATAAATACCTGGGACAGCTGCTATGGGCTGTTTCCTGGGGGGTGTAACAAAAATGAGGTCTGGTCGAGGACCGGGCCATGGGGACGCTAAGCCCTGAAATCATCTCAAGATAACCTCAAGAATGCCACCAAAGTCAGTACTGTAGGCAACAAGGCCTCCACACCCAGGACCAAAGCAAGCAACTCCACACCTTCATGGAACTTGTCAGCAAAGAGACCCCATGACAGCCCAAAAATGCATGACAGCCACTAAGTGAATATGAGCCCTGTGGTGTTCTGCAATAAGGACTCCAGAGAGCACACGCAGCTACACATGGAGCTGCCACTTGCCCATATCCTTGAAAAGTGCCAGAACAAATCAGTAGTCCTCAAGCAGAAAATAAGAAGTGTCCTCCAAGAACATATGAAAGACAGAACTCACTTCCTGCCAATCAAATGTTTGAATTTGACAGAACCAGTGCCAAGTCCTGAAGGATATGAGAGGGTTGGCAGCCAGACAGGATAAATCCTGGACCTCATACTGCAGTCAGTATGCCATGACAGACCCAGGGTCCATCAACAATGTGAGGTCCAAATCCCACAGGAGGAACTGAAATGAGTCCAAATGAGCCAAAGACAACACAATGCAGGATAACCTTTGCAAAAGGGATGCACCAAATGGCATATGAAATTGAACCTTGGAGCAGCAGCCAATAATCCAGCTCATACATTGAAGGGGGGATAGGACAAATTTGCCCCTTCCCAGAAGGGTTCAAGGGCACCCACAGACTTTCCTTAAATTCCATCTTCCCTATTACAGCCCCAGAAGTCAACCATGATGGCCCCAGGGCAGAACCATATGCTGCACCTAATGCCTGGGACAGAAAGGCATTGTTAAAAGGAGAAAGAATGTTGCTAGCACATGCTTGTGAAGAAGGCTCTGAATCCTCAGCAGATAGAGCCAGCTCAACTGTCTCCTCCATCAAAGTTGATGGAACCATCCCCGGAGATGGGTGAGCTACCCATCTCAACTAAACCCTGCCAAGACTCAGAAACCCCTCAGACACTTCAGCACCAGAACCAGAGGGAGAAAGACTCGAAGCAGGGCATATAACACCCACAGGAAAAGCAAGAGGTGTGTACTTAGCCCAGGCAGATTACACCAAAACTTCCAATTCCATATCACTAAATACAACAGGGGCCAATTCCAGGGGTATCTAAATGAGCACAATGTCGTAAAATCCAAATATTGGAAAACTTTGCCCGTAGGGTGGCTGCTGCCCAGTAAGCTACTTGATTAGAAGCAGGTGTGAACAGAATGAATGAAGACCCAATAACGCATATGTTGCAGGACTCGGGGGGTCAAAATTTTTTTTTTTTAATTATTTTCTATCACAGATGTAGCCACACATTTACAATGTTAACCAGCATATATACATTTTCTTCTGTCCTCCATGGACAGGGTTAGAGATCTGTTAAACATATAGTTTAGCGATTTATTCAATAATCAACCACAGAAGGTACTAAGCCATTTAGTAGCATGCCTTTGCACCTTTTCCATTTTATTAAGGTGCTTCTTGAGATATGGACACCATACAAATGCTGAATATTCCAATTTTAGTCTCATAAAAGTCGTGAACTCGCTATGGTTTTGGCAACTATGGAAAGTCCGAGCACTTTGACATTGGGGTTGGGACTGAATCATAGCTGGCCGTTAGACAGTTCTCGGGATGCCACCAGCTGGCAGCATTGTGCACTCAAGGGTTTCAAGATCACTTTCGAGTGAACCATTTAGATTTGAGTAAATAATCTGCAGAGTCTGTTGGCTGTTTTGGTGCTTCATTTAGGTGAACCTTGCAGTTGTTTGTATTACTTTGCTTACTTTCTGGATGTGGATGATCATAATACTGTAATCCCCAACTCCCTCTTCCTCTATGTGGGGTCCAGGTTATGGCTCTGGTCTCCCAGTATACCAACAGGATTCCTACGGCAGGATTCGACTCAATATGGGAAACTTTCTCAGTGAGATAACTTCAGGGAGCCACTACTCCAGAAAAGCAATAATAATATTACCATGTTCATAATTGTAACAGGAATCAACAAAAATTTACATGGAATTTCTTTAAATCTACAACATCAAACACTAGCCATAGATGCATGCTAAGAAAATAAAGAGGCAGAAAATAGTTTGAAAATGTATAATAATACATGCTTGAGAAAATTCTATTCAGACAAAACAAAATTTTAAATTTAAGTGAAATACAGTACTGAAATGGTAAGAATGCAACAGAGATACTTACATACTGTACATCAGTTGGATATACAGAATTTTCAGTATCCTGTGGAGGTGGCTTACTAGCCTTTTTAGTTGCTGAAGAAGCTAGAGAATTCCAGATGGATGGCCGGACTTTACTTTTGTCATTACGATCAAGTGGCTTTAGATGAGCACCTGTAATTTTAAACCAAAGCGTCAAGCTTTTTTCCAACCTTCTGTTGTTCAAATTGCTGAACTACATACAACAATAACAACAAAACTCATATAGAATTTTGACAAAACAAGTCTTACAGCACTTTTCAATAAATCATCTTACACTGTTCATTACAATAACAACAAACCAGCGTTGACTGTAATGAAACATCATTTTCTGGGTGAGACCTGGAGGCTCCCCGGCAACCCTCCCTCCCTCCCTCCCTCCGGTCGGCGGTTTTTGCGTGATTTGACATCCAGCCTCAGAACTGATGGGTGGATAGCCGGCATAAGAGGTCTGGGGCTCCCCCTTCCCCTTCCCGGGGAGGGGGGAGCTGCACAGATAGCGGCACGGTGACATCATACTAGTTTGCTTGTTTTCTGTTGGGGAGTTCTATCCACAAGTTTGGCTTTTGGTAGCAATTTTAACCAGAATAGGGGTTTGTTTTGGAATGCTTACCTTTCTGGATGCTTAACCCGGTCGATGGCAGACACAGAATGCTTCCAACCACACGGGGGTTTCTATAGGCCATTGCTCCCCTTGCCTCTCTGAAGGGGCGAGGTTCTGGCCGTGGTCCCCGGTAGGCCCTAAGAACTCCATACACATGACTGATCTAATGCCAAAGTCTGACATTAGCATATCAGCCTGGTATAGCTCCGGGAGCCAACAGGGCTCCTCCCAGAAAAGTAATGTTGCATAAACCATCAGGTTTAAGAAAGAGATGGCAAGCAACTCAAACTTCTATGCAGAGTATTGATGATACAAATGTATTTAATGGAAAGGGGTTGAATAGATTCATACCAACTCTTGGTGAGTTTTGAGTTTCCAGAGTCATTTACAGGGAGTGTTAAGTAGTTTGAAGGATTTGTGTGTTATGGTGAATAGTTGTCTTGACAGGATTTGAACTTGTGATCTTCCTTGAGCCCCCTACTCTGTTGGTAGATGGACAAGACAATTTTGAAAGTTACTTGTCCTTCTGAAGCAAAAAGTCCTACAAAGTCTACTGATCTGTCTGAGTCTGGTGCATTTTGGCTAAGGGAGCTACCAAGGGAACTTTGCCTGGAATAGTATAATAAAATAAGCCTCATGTTTGAGCATTACATGAATATATCACATCTATTCTTTACATACACTTGGTTTAACAAGTCTTTCATACCTAACCTAACCTAGGGGCCCTGACGGCTGAGTAGACAGAGCTCAGTATTCATAGTTCTAAGGTCCGGGTTCGTTCCCCAGCGGAGGCGAAAACAAATTGGCAGTTTCTTTCACCCAGATGCCCTAGTTCACCCAGCAGTAAATAGGTACCTGGGAGTTAGACTGCTGCTATGGGCTGCTTCCTAGGGATGTGTAACAAAAAGGAGGCCTGGTCGAAGACTGGGCCACGGGGATGCTAAGCCCCGAAATCATCTCAAGATAACCTCAAGATACCCATCACATGCTCTCTTTAGTAAACACACACATTTCTTCATAACTTTAATTCTGATTTCGGTTAGTAACAGAAATTCAAGAATTTGCACATGTAAGTACAGTACTCATAAAATCAAAAATTATGATTTATAAATTAATTGAGTTCAAAGTTAAGATACTTTAACTCCTTAAATCAATACAGTACAAAAAGGAACTTCAGTACTGTACTTATAAAATAACAAACAAATTCACAAAAATGTGTTCAATTACAACTGAACTAGACAGCTATTGAAGTATTAATAAACATATCTGTGAAAAGGTGCTTGTTATGTGTAATACTAAGATCTCAAGAGTAAACATCTGTTTTATTTTTAATCTTTTAAAAACACATGAAAATTATTTTTTCTTACCCAGAACAAGCTGCCTGAATTCATCATAAGTTGGTGCCGAGTGAATGGCTCGTAACTTGGCAGCATTTTCTGCTGTGTAACGCCGATCTGCATCTAATCCTGCTCGAAGTCTTGCTTCTAGCTGATTGGAATCCACACTTCCTTCCCATCCTCCACATGCCATCACGCTACAGAATAATTTAGATAATGCCAACTAAGTATTGTACTAAAATTAACTTTTATACAGTATATACATTTTCCATCATTCATTTGCTCCTCTATAGCTACCATATTAAGAGCTCTATTTTTGTACAGTACTTCAACAATTTCAAATATTGTATTAGCATATGATGTTTTAATTTAATATATGGTAAATACAAGCATCCTTGTCTACTATCATTCATACCTTGTTCCAAGTCACATAATGCATAGTTTCATATTCATATAGTTTCATATTCATATCCAAGTCATATTCTGCCCGAAACACTGCGCATACTAGTGGCTTTACAAGATTGTAATTACTATGCTATGTATCCTCAATTCCAATGTACCTTCTTGTATATATATAAATAAATAAATAAGTAAATGAATAAAATGCAACATGTGTTCCATGTCAATGTTGGTTGCTGTGATTGTACATTAGTGTCAAAACAATAAAACCTAGTATTGTACTGTAATTCAGGTTTTTAAAATGAAATACTGTGAATGAAATATGCAGAGGTCCAAATATAAATTACTAACACCAAAGTCATTCTATAAAGTTAAGCAAGTTTTAATAATCTTTTGTTGGGTTATTTAAGTCTAGCTGTTTTTTACAGTGCTGTCTTGCTAGAACTAACCGTTTCAGAAACCAAGTTATACTGTCTTGGATTACTTTTTTAACTTGGCTGTCTTGCCCAGCTGTTTTGCCAGCGCTGTCTTGTCCAGCTGTATACCCCAACTTTCAACTGTACTATTTGTCCTGGATGTCATCAGACCTGTCTTACTTGGCTGTTGTCAGAGCACTTTTGCCCAGCTGTTGCCGGGACCATCTTGTCCGGCTATAGATGGATCTTGTGAGACACTTTCTGGAGCAGCCTTCTGTCCACAGCCTCCAGTTCTGCTGGCTCAGGTGGTCTGCCTGGTACTAAAGCACATTTGACTAGCTGATTCCAGGCAGCATTGAGCTAGTAGGCACAGGGTCAGGTTTGTCCGCTTTGGTGGCAGGACATGTCTTACATTTTTTGGTTCCTCCTTCTAGGCTGATCTTTACACAGTCATTTGGAGGTACTCTGGCTTAGCCAGCCTGGAGTTGTCCTTGTCCTTTTGATGTCTGTGGGCTTGCATGAACTTGTCGGTTTCCTTCACTAATCTGCCTACAGCAAATGTGTATACAGTACAGTACATGGAAGTGCTGACAACCTCTTTAGTTGATGCCCTCTTACCCTTTGTTACTTATTCTTCAGCAGTTCCATGCTTGTTTTGCATTTGGGCCAGTGCCGAGTTCTCTTCTTTTCCCCTTCTTTTCGTGGGTCAGTCCTGACTTATAGCCATTCCTGGAGCATACCAGGAGTTCTTCTATTTCTCTCTTTTTTTCTCCTCATCTACTCCCAAGTTTTCACACTTGTGGTAACTTGGTCAATAGGCTGTTGCTTGGAGCGGCCTACAGGCCCGCATATCCACTACAACCCAGTTGGTCTGGCACTTCTTGTAGAAACTTATCTAACTGCTTCTTGAGAAAGTCCACCTTTGTTCCTGCAATATTTCTAATGCCTGCTGGGAGAGTACTGAACAGCCATGGAACTCTGATATTCAGCCAGTGCTCTCTCATTGTGCCTATAGCACCTCGGCGCCATTGCGAGCTGGCCACTCACGATTTTGTTCCCTGAAAAACTTAAGATTCTGAGCATCCATCAGCTCAAATCATCGCAGTTTTGTGAGGAAGAATACATCAATACTCCAAGACCCAGAGAAGAACTTGTTTCGAAGGAAACAATACCAATTTTGTCTACAATTGATGGACAAACAATATTGTTGATTATCTACTGTCCAGCTGACTGGTATTCTGCGCAACCCAGTAAGCAGGTGACCCAAACTGTCACACCGCACTCGTCGCATTTTTTTTTTTGTGAGGACCATATCACTAACCAGATCACTAAGTCCTACCCTGCAGGCATCGCCACAAGGGGGGCACCTTAAAAGGTGTACCGAGCCTTTTCAGGGAAAGGTAGACCAATCAGCTCATTGAGGTGTTAGGTATCCCTGATTCCACCTGGGAGGAATCATTCTACACCCTCCGTTGGAGGGGAATGAATTTCTCCAGGCCTAGCAGTGCCTCAGACATTAGGTAAGGCAGTGAATCAGTCCTCACTATGTGGAAACATCATGGGGAAGTCAAAGTGAAAGAGGCAATGGAGGCAGCTTTCAGACAAGGAGGGACAGTGAACCGAGGTGCAGCAGGCACCGAAGAAAACTGCTATCGAGGCTTCACCACGTGCTTCTACCAGCAAGACAGCAGACATAATGGACCTAGAGAGGACAGCATCAGTCACAAACCAGCCAGTATCAGACAATGCTTCTCTGTCCACAACCCAGCCACAAGATGACAGTATGAGAGACAGGAGAGGACAGTACCAGTCACACACCAGCCAGTGTCAGACAATGTACCTCTCTCCACAGCCCAGTCACAAGACAACAGCATGAGACAGGAGAGGACACCACCCATCTCACACCAAACAGCATCAGATTCTGCACATCTTCCAAAATTCAAGATAATGCAGACAGACCACTTTCCTACAGCATATGGAGTAATAACAACAGTGGAAAAGGAACAACCTGAGCTAAAACTTTCCATCACAGTCGATCTGAAAGGAGAAATAATAATGACACCACGAGACCACAACCCGTTCTCGCAAATTTAATAAGTCAATATTGACTTATTAAATATGTGCATAGGTGACATACTTAACATAATAGATACCCTTAAAAAGATTCATAGAAAACACCGACCTTACCTAACCTACTTAGTATGTTAAGATAAGCATCTTATTGCTTTGTAATTACAATTATTACCTAACCTATAATAGGTACGGGTTAAGTAATAATTGTAATTACAAAGCAATAAGATGCTTATCTTAAGATACTAACAAGGTTAGGTAAGGTCGGTGTTTTCTATGAATCTTTTTAAGGGTATCTATTATGTTTAGTATATCACCTATGCACGTAGTTAATAAGTCAATATTGACTTTACGAATTTGCGAGAACGGGTTGGAGACCAACAGACTGCAAATTCCTTAGAAAAAGTAACAGTCCTGCAAGGGAAACCCTGTATGCTTGGAAAAGCTGGACACTTCAGAAAGACTCACAAGAGTCATGCTTTTTGGATACCCAATTGACTTTCCACTGGATCCAGTACAGGTACTAGAACACAAGCAAATCCTGAATGCAGAATGATGCCACACAAAGTAGACAAAGCAACGATGTCAGGTTCTGGTGACCATCATGGGATATGTGCCAGAAACATTCAATCTTGGAAATTGGGGAATATACCAACAGAGACCATACGTCCATACCCCTGTGCTGCTTCAGATGTCAGAAATACGGTCTCCATCAATCGCACTGCACCGGACAGGAGAGATGTGGAGTATGCAGCCTGAAGCATCCAACTAAAGACTGTATAGCTAAGCACAAGGCAAACCAGACCACAACAGCTAAATGTCCAAATTGTGGAGACAAACATCATACCTGGAGCACAACCGGCCCTGCACAAAAAGAAAAGGTGCAGACAGCTCAGGCCAGGATAAACACACAGACCAGCACTACATACACCAACACCAATGTCTGGAACACTCGTGCACAGCCACAACAGACACACACCCTCACAGAACAAAATTTCTTGAATCTATCAATTCCAAATCAGAAAATACACAAAAATGCTGCAGAAATACAACATAAGCAAAAAAGCAATTACTTATGTAATCAACACAGCAAATTTACAGAGGTCCAGCTGAAAAACATCGTGAAGATCATGGCAGAGAATATTATCAATTGCCTACAGATGATGCAGAATGCCTCACAACAACAGACTCAAGAAATCACTTGTGTAATAATGGACAAGATCGTGCAGCAGACCACAGTTACACAAGAAATACACAGTACTATATACAAAACACAAGAGGACAAACAATGCGACATGGACAAACAGACTACCAACAGTCGGGTAGTCAAAACACCAGTCCATCAACATTCACAAAAGCAACTGCAAAAAGATGTGGCCACTCAAGATCAACAGAATCTTACAACACAAGAGACAGGAATCAACAGCCAATGCAGTCTGATATGAAACAGCACCAACAAAGAAGTATTAAACAGCAGAGATGCACAGGTTCCAACAACACAAGAGGCAGGCAATAAACAATCAATGTAGCCCAATATGTAGCATCATTAACACCTAAATACTGGATAGCAGAGATGTATAGATTCTGACAACACAAGAAACGGCCACGAGCAATCAATGCAGCCCGATGTGCAGCAATACCAATAGCAAAGCGATGGATCATAGCTATGCACAGATTCCAACAATGCAGAGGATGACCATGAGCAATCAGTGCAATCCGATTTGCAGCGACACGACTTGCGAGGTGGAGAATATAGACGTCGATTCCAAAGAGTTCTACAGTACTAGACTAAAATACTGAACCTAAGACTAGAAACCAAGCTAACGTCGATTGAAATAAGGGTAAAAGGGATTGCTGCATGCATGCTGACCAAGATATTGACTAGACCTAGAATCAGTTCACTTAAAGATATAATCACTGGAGCACTAACTCTGGACAGAAGAGCCTTCATTAGCAACAGGTGGACCCATTGTGCGATAAACCAGGAGTGACAATTATACTAAGTGACAATTCTATAACATCAATACATTCAATATAACAAACACAGTCACTGAGAAGGGTGTCGACGAAATACATGCAGACTTTGTTATCATATCATACTAATAATCATACTAATCATACTAATAACAATCATACTAAGTGACAATTCTATAACATCAATACATTCAATATAACAAACACAGTCACTGAGAAGGGTGTCGACGAAATACATGCAGACTTTGTTATGCAAGCCCCTTGGGAATCGCTGCCCCTTGACTTTAAGATTATGGCTCTTGAAGGAAAAAAGAACCAACTAATCTTCATCTGCTACGTAATATTGCACAGATGGATATAGAAGCAAACTCTGCATCTGACAGCTTCATATACTTCACAGATGGATCAGTAGACCACAGGGACAAGAAACTGGAGCTGCAGTTAAGGCAGGAAACTCTAAATAGTTAGAGACTCTCAAACAGGTGTTCTTAACAGCTCGCCCACACGCCGCGGGTGTGACCTCTAAGTTGGCGGCGCGCAATACTGTTAATAGTAAATTCCTCCCTCCTATTCATAATTGGGGATCCATATTTGGGAAAATATGTAATTGGTGGTTTCCTGTTTTGTCAATTGGGGGGTTAATCAGGGTGGAGTTGAATCAGGTGGTGGCAGTGGAAAATTATTAGAGTTTTTCTAGATTTACTGGTAGCTGATCAGGTACAATACCTTGTTTTTGTGGTACAGTATGTACCTTGGTGATCAAGCACCGAGGTTACAAAATCTACAACACCAGTTACAAGATGTTGAATTGGAGAGGTTGCCCTAGGGATTCTGGGGGAACTCTAGAAATAGTTAATTAAGTATGAGAGTGTGAGTTTGTTGGTTGACATCAACAAGTGGACTTTTTTTTTAGTTCATTATTTACAACATTATTTAATATGTGTGGGTTGGGGTCTGAGTAGATTAGGGTAGTATCGTCAGCAAATAATATAGGTGTAAGAATGTTAGAGACATTAGGCAGATCATTGATGTATATAATGTATATACAGTATATGTAATTCCCCAATACGTGTACCTGTGCCATACAACTTTGCCATTGTGATCATTGCGATCAATCGATCTTTGCCATTGTGACCATTGTGATCACTCTTATATCATGTTATACACATAGTTTACTACATTATAACTTGCAATAATCCTCAAATTATGCTACAATGTACCTGTGGATAACCCTTTAAATTTACTTTAATATACCTGCTAATCCTGTCAAATTTCTTATACAATGTATTATTTTATAATTTCTTACAATGCATTTTTATACTTTCTTACAATGTACAGTACCTGTAAACATGTTTTTAATTTTGCTAGAAATTACCTTCTTAAAATTATATGTTAGATTAAGGATCTGCCTGAAACACTATGCATGCTAGTGGCTTTACAGGAATGTAAACTTTCAATGTTCTGTACCCATCATAAATCCAATGTACCTTCTTGTATATAAATAATTAAAATAAAATGAATAAATAGAAGAAATTGAAGAGGTCTTAGGATGCTTCCCTGTGGCATTCCTACAGTTAATGGTAGAGTGGAAGAGGTTATATCATTGATGGCTATGTACCAGTGTATGTCACTATGGTCGAATATAGTTCAGGACAAGGCCTCTGATTACATAATGGTGGAGTCTAAGTAAGTGGTAGTTATGGTTAACAGCATCAAAGGCCTTTTTCAGGTCAATGAAGAGTCCAATCAGAAACTCATTTTTGTCAAGGGCTGAGTAGATTATATCAAGCAGACTAAAAATTGCATCATTGGTACTCTTTTGGGAGAGAAGCCAAACTGATAGGGACTTAGTATGTTGAATTTTACGAGGTAGGAGTAGACCTGTTTGTAAATAACTTTTTAAATGGTCTGTAATTATTTACGTCTGCCGGATTGGCTCCTTTATGAACTGGTATTACTAGTGTTTTTTTTATAATAATAATAATAATAATAATTTTTATTTAGGCAAAGGTACATACATAAAGAGATTTTACAAAGTTTGTTGGCTTTATAGATAAGAGCTAGTACATACAATGCCTAAAGCCACTATTACGCAAAGCGTTTCGGGCAGGAAAAAACACTACTGACTAAAGCTTAAAACTAATGGGTAAAAAGAAAAAAATGCGTTGAGTACAAATAAAAATAGAGGTAAGAGAGGGGGGAACATTGTTGAAAAACAGCACAAATACAATTACAAATTATTACAGAAAATTACATTAAAACAGCGTTGATTTGAAAAAAAAAAAAAAAAAAAAAAAAAAACATACATGGGTTGACAATAGAGAGGTAAGGTAGGTTACAGGGAATTTATTAGGTATAGCTTCGTTTTTTTTTTTTTAAGGATATCAGGGAAGGTATGACACTAGAAATTTGTTGAGCAGCAAAGTTAAGGGTGGTGCAAGGGCATGGGATACCATACCATGCCCTTGAATGCCCATAGCATACTCTTGTATACCATAGTTGGTATTTCATTAATGTTCCTAGCTTTGACTTTTAATGAGTGAATGATGGACACATTTGTCGGGCTGACTGGTGAAAGGAGAAGAGAGTTTGGATAGCTGACTGAAAGATATGTGGTAGCAACATGTGTCTGAGTCTGTGGGATTTTTCTGGCAAGGTTGGCACCGACCGATGAATTGGTTAAGCCAATTCTCCTTTAGTTGGCATTATTTGTACCTTCTATAGAAAAAAATTGGTGGTTTACACCAAGATGCTTGTGGAGGCTACAGTGTACCTGAGGAGCAGGCGGGCGGGGAGGATATTTAAGATGTGTTAAGGCCAGTGTTCATGGTGAAGCAGCGGCAAGAGTCTGGCGACAACGGCGACGCACCTCAATGTTTACAATCAACCAGGCGACCACTCACCAGGTCTACCAACCCCGACCCCACCTCTGATCAATCACTTAGTCCAGCCCTCAGACCCCGTCCTCCACGACGCTCCTCGCTTACCTCACCCATGCTCCACGACGCTCCTCGCTTACCTCATCCATGCTCCACGACGCTCCTCGCTTACCTCACCCATGCTCCACGACGCTCCTCGCTTACCTCACCCATGCTCCACGACGCTCCTCGCTTACCTCACTCCTCCATGACAACCCATTTACCTCACCCCCTCCTCCAAAAAGATCTTGTAGATCTGAGGCAAAGTGAAATTGACACCAGTAATTCCATCTATCATCATACTATCATGCAAGAGGAGCCACACATCTATGGATCATCCAATAAAATCAGCAGACTTCTAGATGTTACTGCTGCTCGGCTTAGACTCGGTTACAAGTATCTCTGGGAATTCTCATTATCTGCTGATGTAGACCTGACCAAATGTAAACTGTGTCAACAAAATTATTCGCACACCCTCCGTCACTATGTGATGGAGTGCGAAAAGATACGTGAATTTAGAGACAATTCTATAACCAATGTTCCAGCGATGTGTCAATATTTCATTCAAAATGATCTGCTACCAGAAATTTTAGCCAAATATCCCCAGTTTGCTAACTGTAGGTAGTAACTAAGTGATTGTAACCTATCCACCGCTGCTCACTGGATGGGGGGCGGTGTGCAGGACAAACATATAAATTTTGACACTAGCTCTCCACATATGTCAGCTGCTTAATTTAGAACCTGTACTTGAGGTCGATCTCGAACCCATTGTTGATGTGACGACTTATATTGAATTTTGTAACTAGCTCATCAAGATTGTAACTTGCTTAGCTAAATGAATTGTGGGGTTCAGTCCCTGAGCCCATTATGTGCCTCTGTAACCCTTTCCACTACCGCCTCAAGATGGGTATGGGGTGCATAATAAATGAACTAAACTAAACTGTTAGATTTTGATTGGTGGTACGATGTTTTATTTCGCCTGAAACATGCGAGTGAAAGTTGTGGCGTCTTAAATTCCTTAACCTGTTACAGCTGTGACCAGTAGCAGTCCACTACTGTGACCAGTAGCAGGGTCACAGTAGTGGACTTACAATCAAGCATAGGAATCTTTTATACAGCCAAGAGTATGTACTTTATGTACTGTATGTACTTTTTTATGTACTTTATTACTTTCAATATTTAATTTTAAGTTCATGGTTCTAGTAACGTTGTTCCCATGTAATCTTCGATAATTCTGGTATATCCTCCATAGTTATTCTCAAGCGTTCTTTGGTTAGAAGGTTCTAGCGATAAACCATTACTTCGGAACCAACTTATTCCAGGAGGAAATAAGTATCAGAAGAAGGCATTATACCAGACACTATATAGCATGGAGGGGAGAAAAAAAAAAAAGTTGCTATGCACTTTATAGGAGAAAAAGTAGCAAGGTATTTATATATTTATTAAGCAACAATTTAGACAAATTCCTAAGGGAATAACTTAATTGCAGGTTATAATCTCTCGAAGAGGCGCTTGCGTGCTGGCTTAGAATGTTACGTCTGACAGCCCCGAGGTAAAACAGATTCTGGTTAATCAAAAATGCTCCGACCGTATAGCAACTCTTGTCATTGTACTAGAACACTAGTACACATTGTACTAGCAACACAGACTAAAGACCAAGCAATCAGAGGTCAACGAACGTCAAAATGTGTTGCTAGGACAATGACCTGGAACAATCTACCGGTGTTGTTGAGGCTCGCCCTCCTTGTAGGGTTGGTTGTAAGGTCAGCATGGGGGGAGGGGAAGAATAGTTAAGTTAGTGGGATTTAACGTTTTCTCATTTTTATAATTATTTGTATTGTAATTATCATTAAGGTCAATTATACCTTGACCCCACACTCTCCAGCACCACCAGGTCAACTATACCTTGACCACACACTCTTCAGCACGACCAGGTCAACTATACCTTGACCCCCACACTCGCCAGCACGACCAGGTAAACTATACCTTGACCCCCACACTCTCCAGCACGACCAGGTCAACTATACCTTGACCCCCACACTCGCCAGCACGACCAGGTCAACTATACCTTGACCCCCACACTCTCCAGCATGACCAGGTCAACTATACCTTGACCCCCACACTCGCCAGCACGACCAGGTCAACTATACCTTGACCACACACTCCAGCACGACCAGGTCAACTATACCTTGACCCCCACACTCTCCAGCACGACCAGGTCAACTATACCTTGACCCCCACACTCTCCAGCACGACCAGGTCAACTATACCTTGACCCCCACACTCTCCAGCACGACCAGGTCAACTATACCTTGACCCCCACACTCGCCAGCACGACCAGGTCAACTATACCTTGACCACACACTCCAGCACGACCAGGTCAACTATACCTTGACCCCACACACTCTCCAGCACGACCAGGTCAACTATACCTTGACCCCCACACTCTCCAGCACGACCAGGTCAACTATACCTTGACCCCACACACTCTCCAGCACGACCAGGTCAACTATACCTTGACCCCACACTCTCCAGCACGACCAGGTCAACTATACCTTGACCCCTGGCAATGGTGGTCCTCTACAACCTCTCAATGATTAACACCACTTGTGATCACTCCCCCAATTTTTTGACGGTTTGACTCTGGATATTATCCCAGCACTAAAGTAAAGTCTCAAGGTGTACATGTATGTATATATACACATATTGTCCCCGTGTATGACTAGTGACCTGGCAACCCACACTACTGGTCACGCCGAGGTCAACCATCTCTAGGTACTGGACGCTTGGCTGACCTCACTAGCTTATTTAACTTTAGATTAGATTAGATTTTTTATTCAGGTAAAGGTACATTCATTAAAGATGAGTTACAAACATAATGTTCGATTTAAAGATAGAGCTAGTATATACACTAAATAAAGTCACTTTAACGCATAGCGTTTCGGGAAAGACCCGAAACGCAACATGTTGTTGGTTGATCAATTACGCTGCCCCGTAATTTATATTTTCAATATTTCTTTGAGTGTATTTGTAATTTTGTGTTATTAATATTTACAAATTTACTATATTGATTTAAATAGTATAAATGACATAGGAGGTGTTCGAACATGACAGATGGCCTTGACCTCGACTGAGTTGCTGGGAACCACGCCCGGCCGCCGCTGGTAACTACCCAACCGCCCCATCAACATACTCCCATGTACTCACCTGATTGTACTCACCTAATTGTGCTTGCGGGGGTTGAGCTTTGGCTCTTTGGTCCCGCCTCTCAATTGTCAATCAACTGGTGTACAGATTCCTGAGCCTACTGGGCTCTATCATATCTACATTTGAAACTGTGTATGGAGTCAGCCTCCACCACATCACTTCCTAGTGCATTCCATTTATTGACTACTCTGACACTGAAAAAATTCTTTCTAACGTCTCTGTGGCTCATCTGGGTACTAAGTTTCCACCTGTCAATTCCCCTGAGAATTTTGTGGGTGGTTATCATGTCTCCCCTTACTCTTCTGTTTTCCAGGGATGTGAGGCTCAGCTCCTTTAGCCTTTCCTCGTAGCTCAGTCCTCTCAGTTCCGGGACGAGCCTGGTGGCATACCGCTGAATCTTCTCTAACTTTGTCTTGTGTTTAACTAGGTATGGACTCCAGGCTGGAGCTGCATACTCCAGGATTGGTCTTATATAAGTGCTGTATATAAATGTATGTATGTATATACATACAACACCCTACCATGAATACCCAAATCACGGAACTATTTACTCTACCCACCATGAGAGTAAGAACAAGACCGGAACATAACAATGCCAACACAGAAGACACTGCTCAACATAATAGGGTTATTACACCCGATTAATCTTTGTATGTGCTTCGTCCCCTATTTTTTTTTTTTTTTAGATATATACAAGAGTTGTTACATTCTTGTACAGTATGTTCAAATCCCCTATTTATCCCCTTGCCTTTTCCTTTATTCTACTTGTTTTCTCACCTGACTCCGTACTGGTATATATCTAACGAGATTTGTAATTTCTTTTTTTTTTTCATACACAGCGCTGCTCTTGTGCCAGGTAAGTCCACTACGGGCTAGTACATACAATACCTAAAGCCACTATTACGCAAAGCGTTTCGGGCAGGAAAAACACTAAGACTAAAACTTAATACTAATTGAGATTAAAATATAAATTGTGTTGAGAAAATAAAAAAAGGGGGGGAACATGGCAGAATATTTTACACTTTTCGGACCGAAGTTCTACTGAACTTACTTCAGTAGAACTTCGGTTTCAACTCTTTTTACCCTGTCGTAGCTCAGTCGATTAAGGAAGTGTCTGGGATGCTCCCGGACGCAGGTTCGAATCCTCGTCACGGCCCTTGTGGATTTGTTCATTTGCTTAGCTAAATGAATTGTGGGGTTCAGTCCCTGAGCCCATTATGTGCCTCTGTAACCCTTTCCACTACCGCCCACAGGATGGGTATGGGGTGCATAATAAATGAACTAAACTAACTCGCCCTCCGCGCGATTTCTGTATTCCACCACCAGTTCTTTGTACTCATTCCTTTTCCTTTGACTCTTATGGACTCTAAAGTTCGCGAAGGAAAGCGCTGTTGCAGCCTCTGGTTCATACCATCCCGGCCTGCCTGGGGTCTGTCTTCCAGCTTCACCTCTTCCATTGCCAGGAGGCGTTTCTCCTCATCGGTCTACCTTGCTTTGGGCCTACCCGCTCTACTCGCGGCCTCTTCAAGTTCCTGGTGGTATTGGACCTTCTGCATGCGGCTCAGATGGACTCGCATTGCTCTATAGTCTCGAAAGGTTCTGCCACAGTTTGGACAGTCTGGCGACCGGTCATTCATAGCCGGATCATCATGAAGATCACCCATCGTGCTGACAGGGGTCAGTACGTCTCCGTAATGGTTTTCACAAAAGTTTATGGGTGACAAGGCACGAAAACCCTTGACAGGGGCAGACTGCCTTTGGGATTGCTCAACCCAAGTGTCACTGAC